ATGAACACATGTACTATAATTGACCCCTTAGATGAATACCTAGTATTGATCACATGCACTATAATTGACCCCCTAGATGGATACCTAGTATTGAACACATGTACTATAATTGACCCCCTAGATGGATACCTAGTATTGAACACATGTACTATAATTGACCCCCTAGGTGAATACCTAGAACAATGAGTCAAAAATGTTATATTTTTAGAACTAGTTATTGGACATGCACAGATATACAATGAAATGAGCTTAGAACACATATTAACACAACAAACATAATTGGTTACGTCAGACGACTAACATATTTAACAGTAACAGCACATAAAATATCAAAATCATCAGATAATAAAAGGAAAACACATAATTATCATCATTATTATTATTACCATTATACACACTAGAAATAAAATTAAAAGACAACATGCTGTTAATATTTAGGAAATAGAGAGTATATGTTAGTACCTGTCAGTTTATCGGATGGAGACGATGATGATGACGGTAAAGATAACCTTGTTACTGACATAGAATGACTTCGTTTAGGACCCATATACATACCACTAGAGGCTAAGCCTATGATGTTACCAGTGCTCTTACGAAATGCTGCTTTACTTGTGGAAAACGCTGGCAATGGTGGGAACATGTCTTTTAATTCCCCAATGACAATCTCTGGAGCGAGCAAGTCTACAGCTGCTTCCAGCGTTAACATTATCTCAGTAACATAGCCCTGCAAGTATGATCATGAAAAAACAATTTTTTGATTTGGTGATCCAATTTATTACTGTCTATGTATTCTTAAGAAAGAGAGTAACGTTTGAGAGAGCAATCATAGAAAGAGTTTCAAGCATGTCACCATATAAACTGAACTACTGTACAGTAGAATACTTTATTTTTGCTTGGAATTTATTTTCGCTGGAGGGATGCTTCAGTGAAAATAAAATCCAGCAAAAATACTTTTTAACCTATATTTCACATTCAACTCATTAAAAATCAGTGAAAATAAATTCCACACAAAACACCCAAAAAACCTTTTCAGTGAAAATTAATTCCAGCTAAATAAAGTGGTTTACAGTATGTGATTTATTTGTCTAATGGTATGAAATATGGGATAAACAGGATGAGCAGACGAAATGTAAAAAAATTAAAAACATTAAAGTTCTTGATGTTTGAGTGAAAGATGACATCAAATAAATGAAAAAAAGCAAATTAAAAATGTGAGTACATAAATTTTAACCCCCATGGAAACAATGACATTGTGATTTCCCCTCTTACTTGTAGCCCTACACACGACTAAGATTCATAATTCAAAACTTCATGCATTTTGGGTATCCCAAAATTTTTACTTCGGACTTTGTTATAGCAAACAACAGTGAACAGGTCAAAAAATTGCTGTATTAACAATGTTAGCAACAACTGTATGATACAAGACATATCAAAATACATGTGTGACAATGAATAAAAGAAATACCGCTACCAATCTACGAGGGTGACATAAGCAATCCTTTTTTAGCATTATTTTTGTAATCTACTCAGATAAACAGATAAACTTCTCAAAAGAAACATGATTTCCTAAACGAGTAAAGGATCCTAATGAATTGCTAACTGGTAAAAAGTATGTAAGTGTATGCATGTATACCTGGGTATCTTCACCATGATCCACAACCGTCTCTACCAATCTTGATAATATATCAGACAACCATCTTGAAGTCAATGGGATAGCTAGTGATCTGTATACCTAACAAATCAACGGGAAAACATTGGTGATCATGTGACCTCAGAAACCAAAGTGATGCAATGACATGAATGTTAAATTTGTTTTTCTCATCCTAAATACAGATCATAGTCAATCAGGAACCTACTAATAATAATAGTGAGTCTGCCTGTAGAGGGCATACCTACATAAGATTAGTTTTCCAACCACTGCCCTCTAGTGACAAAGTGTTTCTGTCATGTGACTGGGTGTGAGGAACACCATTTACAATCAATATTATCTGTGGTTTTTCAACAATCAAAGAATAGTTTTGTTTTTTTTTAAATTTTATGACATTGGGACGTTTTTGGGACTACTTTATTGCATGTGTCAGAATACATGCTTTGGTAATGGTGTTATATGTCACCGGATCACCCAAGTGTATTGCTATGTAAAAAGTAGTGCCATTGGTTCAACTGAAAATAGCGTCTGAGAATAAACAAGAATTCAAACATGAAAAGCTCTCTGGTTTCTTTGATGTTTGGTGTCTTCATGAGTCAACACATCACAATGATAAATGGCAAACCATTACCCAACTTAACACAGTTGTCTTTTTAAATGAGATTATTTACACCCAAGTATGCCATTTTAATACCACAGAATTTGTTCATCGTAAGAATTAAGGCATTTCCTATAAAGTCAGATACCAGAAACATGCTGTTTTAATGTGACATCAATAGATGAACAAACCTGAAAGGATCTCCCAGCATAATGTCTAACTGGACATGACAAAGCCAGGTGTATCGCAACCTGAGCCCATCTTTGTTCCACCTGTTTCCCAGGGAGTGATTCCCGGAATATCCGTACAACATGCTTCAAAAAAGACTCCAACTGTTCAGCACTTTTAATAGAGTACGCCCTGGGCATGATGTCTTCATAGCACCACAGTGGACCAGATTTCCTATAATATGAAACACATTATATAACTATTTAGGTCTTGTATAAATGTTATTAGAAAGGAAACTGGCAATGTGTTGAAATGATTGCAATTTAGTCAAGCTTCTTCAAATAGTAAAACACAAATGGCAAAAGGCTGAGAGACCCCACTTTTCCAAATCTATCAATAATAGTAATATCCCTATTCAATGTTTTGGATAGCTTGAAGTTGGTTTGATGTGGCAGGATAGTTCAAGGTGAATTCTGATTTTTTTTTCTATTTTTAAATATCTATCATAAAAGGTTTCCATCACTGTCCACAGTCATTTTTATTGTGTGTGTGTTGACTAAATAGTGTGAATCATTATTTATTTACAACCAACACTGCTTACCTTGTGACAAGGAACTCAATCAAGGCCTTTGAGCTGTCCTTGACATTAGTCAGTGTGCCAACATCAATGTGTACCGTCTTAACTGGTGAATTAGGCACCACTGTGGCATTACTACTAACACTAGATGATGTAGACAAACCACTAAGTGTTGTTGTACTACCAATCATGTGTGGATCTTGCAGGTCTTGTGCATTCTCCTCCTCATCACACACTTTATCACCTAGAGTATTTGTAATTAAATAAGACAATTCATAATATGGAAAAAGTTCCCTCCCACCCCAAGTCTCACCCCAACATGTATCGAATGAACACATATGAAGTTAACCAATTTCTATTTGAAATATTTGACATCTGAGAAAAACAGAAGGTTGGTGAATATCAAGGAATTGTCATCAAAACAAAAAACAAATTACCAATGACATGAATATGAATATGAAAACCATTTACCAATTGAAATTAAAACAAAACTGATCTAGTGTGTTGGACAGAAACTAACCAGCTTGGCAGCTGATTGATATTATTCTTACCTGTAAAGTTGTATGTTTTCTTCAATGTTGGTGGTTCACTTAGTGCATAAAGATCACTAGTGATGGTATTAGACAATAACATTTTAGCAACATGGGCATAGTCACCATGGCCAGACAAGACAATTAGTAAATTCACCAGTAACATCTTGCAGTGTTCATGTACCAATGGCTTGGCATGGTCAAAACCTAAATGAAATAATATTTTAAAATAATAAGTGCATTTCAAATACTGTCCTAGTGCAATATAAATTATTGTATATAGTTCATAAAAAAAATTTACATTCGCTCATTCCAAATTCTTTTTTTCAATACTCTACAACACAGTTATGTGATTTCTTCTGGAGGAGCGGACATGTACAGGTAAGCATTAAAAACAACACATTTAAAAAATATATTTTTAAAGAATTTCGGATCTGGACATTAAAAACTAGTACTAAGAAATTAAAAAGCACACTAACTCACCAAGAAACAAAACATGTAATAATTGTGGTAAAGCTGTAGACCAATCTACTTCCAATCTTTCAGATACCAAATCAGTCATCAACATCATCGCAAGATTACATCTGTATACAACAGCTGATGGCGCAATATGTGCATTGCCGTTATCAGCAATGTAGTCGGCTAGCGGGGCGTAGTAACCACCATGTTCTGGCATAGGTATTGACTGCGGCTGTGGCGAACTACCCTGGATTTCTAGATTATACCTCCATAGCGTGTAGGCATCTTTCGGCAAGTCTTCTTGGGAGAATTCCTCTCCTTCCAGCTCAGGGTGGTCCAGACTAGATGTTCTGCTGCCAGGATCTGTCAAGATACTGGTGTCTTCCACAGTGGCAGCTTCATGAATACAGTTTGCAGACATGTGACTGGATTGGATGAAACTAGAATCACATCTCTGCATGCTGTAAACAGAAATAAATGAAACTTTGGGAGTTATAGTGAATTAATTTGGGTAAAGCTATACAAGTGGGCAAGTCATATCCAGCAACAACCTGTCCATTTGTATCATAGATACTAAACACCAGATTTTTTTCACTATACATTTATGAATTATAACAAGACCTTCCTCTCTAATTGTACATGATACTCTCTAATATGATCCACCTCTTCCATTATTACTTTGCATGTTGATGAAGATAATGAACTATAACTCTTATTCTTGGGATGGATGTACATCACAGAACGTTCTATGCCAAGACTAGCGCCACTATATAAAGTATTTCTATGGGCTCTCCGCGAGCTACTGGTCAAAGGACCAGTGAAAACCGCACAAACTCAACTATAACTCTTCTTATACTGTTCAGAGAGTCTCAACAGCTTAAAGTACAGTTTTCTGAGAGTTTTTAACCTTTGTTTTCACCGTGATACTGTAAAATGACTAATTTTCACTGGGTTTAAATTTCACAGATTTAACATTTCAGGCATATTCAGTGGGTTTTAAATTCACGGTTTTACCATTTAGATAATGTGTTCTATGCCAAATTTTACATATTCACTGGGTTTTAATTTAGCGCATTTTCCAGTCAGCGAAATAAGCGAAATTAAAACCCAGTGATTAATTAACCCCTTTACAGTAGATAGGGTGAAAATGTCCAGATATTCGCTCCCATGAATACCTTTACTGCTACATATGCTTCATGAAAAAGCAACTCGAATTTATAACACTGGTAGAAGCGCACATACACCAATTGCATTTATTGTATACTGGATCATTAAAATACAACTTATTTGACTTTGGATTCACGTAAATGCATGCTCTACTGGTAGATCAAATACATGTACGGTATAGCCATAAAAGTAACACATCCATCTCTTCACGTATATAAAAAGCAAATAAGTTATAACATCAAAGTCCAGATTCATCATTCAATATCATAGACTACCGTGAAATTTGTATTAGAAGCTGCATCCCTAATAGAAGTCGCACCCATTCTTTTTGAATAATTGAGAACCAAAAATTCATCATTTCTCATATGTGTAGATGCTCTAATAGAAGCCGCATCCCCTCTGTTGCATTGTAACATTTTAATAGAAGCTGTGGTTTCTAATACAGATTTTACAGTATGTCTGAATGAAATGTAAACACACAGAGCAATCATCAAGCCTCATAGCCTGCGTTACCTTTCTAGTTTATCAGGTGCAGACATAGAGCCTTTCAATGTACGTGTTTCCACTCCACTATGACCTTTCTCAATGTTACTCGGCACTGACACAGTAGCAGCCACACTGTCATCTTTGATTTCTCTTTCATATTTTTCCATGATAGAACTATCACTGCTGCATTCCTCAGAGGCATATATGCAGTGCTCATCCTCCCTCTTTGGGATGTACAACTGGAAATACGGCGCCTCTTCCAACTTTTCAACAGTTGAGTTGACAAGCTCTGCAGACATTAGTTCATGCATCATTTCTTCCAAGAGCTGTTTCGGTTTAGCTTTACCGATGTATGCCAATACTCTTTTTACCTAAAATACATACAAATGTACATTTCCATTTGTTCTCTTTTACATCCTGGTACTAGGTGTGTTTTTTTAGTTTAGTGTATATGACATAACAAAATTTAAAAAAAATCATATGGCAAGCTAAAACTGAGACTGCAATCCCGAAAGTTTGCAAAATTAAAACTCATTTCACTTTGTTCACTCAGAATTTGAACATGTGCTACTTCAGAACATTTTAGAAGACTTCTAAACCCTGGAACTTTGAAAGTAGTGTGTTTACTACTGAATCAAAAGGAGACAGTATTAAAGATATTGAGAATTGAACATAAATGGACTACTAATACCAACTCAGCGAATTCACTGATCGAAGACTAGTAAATGTTACAAAAATTCAGCAGCTCGCTGAGCATTATGTAAGTACTTACATATGGGAGTACATCTGGATTGGTTTGAATTCCTGCCATCATCATTAAATAGTTTAGAATAACTTTGAGGTTGTGCGACCAGCACACACAAAGAGCTGCCCATAGCTGTTCTAATTCTCTGGGGTGCTCATCACCGTACTGGAAAACCAAACAAGAAATGCCACATGATATATCAATTTTATATACGTGATGATACACATGTAGAAGCAAATATTGCATTTTTATACACTAAATCACTAAAATATTAGTTTAGTAAAATATTTTGACCTAAAAAACACATCTGTAATTTATGTACTACTAATAAAAAAAATATGGTAATTTACTTTTTTGAATAATTGCTTTCCCACAATCCTCTAAATTCGATTTCAGGATTCTGTTGGATATGATTTGTCATGAACAATACACATATCTAAGCCGTCAGGATGTTCACAGGAGTCAGTGAGAAGTTTTCCACAGATCATACAAAGTGTGAATGCAACTTTAAATATTATTATAATAAGTATTGTTGACTTACCTCTACAGTAACATAAAATAAATTATTAAGTACAATGTTAGTTGCTTCTTGGGATCCCCATCCTTCTCCCCTTAGTGGACACTTCTCATATTCATTATTGCACATTTCTTTATCTTCTTTGGTAGCGATGGGTTTAGATGGTTCACTGTTGGGGGCATTGTTATCCACTAGTTCTATATTAGACAACCAAGGCAGTAAACATTCTAGGATAACCTGTCTGGAATGGGCTGGTGCCGACTCAAACCTTTCTGTAAATTCTGTTGGTAAATGTGATTATTGATGAGTAGTGTAATTGTGATTTGATTTCATTGCCAAAACATTCAGTGTTATGATACACAGTATAAAAAGTTATTACGGTAATTCAAAATTAAAATTTTGAAAGTTAGACCACTGTCTACCAACTAATAACCTCATTGTTGTATGTGGGGTTCAAAGGTCAAACTGGAGCTTCTCAACACCGATATTGGCAAATAAAAACAAACCCTATATGTGGTATCAAGTCTGACTAAGCCTACTATTACAATCTGTAGACTGTGACTGTATTAACTAATGATGCTGTCTAAATCCTATTTTTATTTATACATACTTTTTTTTTAACATTGTGTTGAGTCATGAGTGACAGTATAGTAGAACAAGCGCTCTCTAAAAAGTGCATTTTTGTATTATGCTAATTATCTGATACAAAAATATTTCATATTTTTCACCAAAAATTAAATTTGATTAACAGTTTTCATAAGTACAAAAATACAGTTCTTGACGTTTTCACCACCAGACTTTCTTGCCCAAATGTATCTGAACTTTTTTCTAATATTCTTCAATATTTCTGGAAATCAACCCTAATTTTAGAGCCAACAGATGAAACCTGAGTCGATTTTCAGTTTTTACTCAAAAAATTTGGCTATTTTTGTCTCAATTTTGTGAATTCTGCAGACTATAAATGGGACTCTATGATGAAAAGAGGAAACTGGTAGTGAAAAGTTTAAAGAGTATTCATTTCTTTGACAGTGTTGTCACAAAAGAATTGCATCGTATATTAATGATATACAATCATGCATTCTATATTTGTGCATTTAGTATTGTGATCAGAGAGACAACTACACAGACACTACAAACCTGAAAACACTGCTATCGTCAGCTCAGGATGCAACCTGGCAAGTTCCTCTGACAATATTGTGTGGGTTTTACCATATGTGGAAGACAGCGTTATTATCAGTCGACTGCACTGACTTAACGGTGTGGCTACACCATCCTCCTATTCCAAAGAATCTCTGATCTAGCACCTGGAGTAGTCTCAATGCTATGTCTTTAACCTCTTTGCAAGGGTCAGCAGTCTTGAATAATGTGACGCATAAAACTGAAATCAACTCACAGCTGTACTCTCTGCAATGAAAAAAACAGGTTTTGAAAAAGTCGACTGAAAAGGCAGAGCAACTACAAAATGTTCAAAACAGCAGTTGCATATCTTCAAAATCAATATGCAATCTGAATTTGCATAAATTATTAGAAGCTTATCTCCATGTATATTGTAAAACATGTCTTTAGCTAGCATGTTATTTTAGCTAATTTTGTAATATGTATTTTCTTTCATTAAAGAGGTCACAAATTTTAAAGTATATTTTTACAATGAGATTGTTGAAACTTTTATATTAACAGGGATTTTTTTAAACAAGGGAACAGGGGTGCAGCGCCCTCATGCCATGGCCATGCGTCCCCTTACCCTGGGGAGCAGATCCTCTGGCAACCATAAAATTCTGATTGACCAGGGACCACATGTCTGATGGTAATTTTCGCCACAAGGAAGCCATAGAATGCTCCATTTTAACTTAGAATTATCAACAACTTTCACACCCTGGTAGGGGTACCCTATCTCCCCCACTTGGTGGAGCCACTGAATTACAGTGCTCCCTCTTGCAGTTTTTTCTAGAAAAAACCCTGCATTAAGATTATGTTAATTCAAGTATATATTGAGTCAAATCCGCTAAAATTGCATATACCGATAACTATTTCAACTTGTTTTATAGTATATACCAATAATTGCATTTATTTTATATTGGGTTATTAAAATATTACATATTTTGACCACAGACATGTATGCACTTCTAATATAAATCAAATACAGTAGCATTACATAGCATTACAAATTTAATTCTGGCAACAGAGCTAAAATGTAGCATGCAGGGGAACATGTTGCACTGCAAGAACAAAGGATGAATATAAACTTTCCATGTATGACACACAGGTGGACTTACTTGTTATTTAGTACGGTAGCAAAGGACTGTATACAGCCGTCTGCAATCTGTTTGCTACCAGTATAACATCTATGGATAGCCCAGTTTAACACTGTCGGGTTGTCTGGGTTATTTTGCAATAACAATACAACAGTTTCTTTACCAAGTTGGTGAACCTACAAAACAGTTTAACACTTGTTAAAAAGTTTAAGTTTCGTGTTTTTCTGCAAGTAGGAAAAGTTTCAAATGAGTGTTTCAGTTAAACCTTTCTCAACCTAACCCATCCATATAAACATTTCTTGTTACAACAAATTTACTTTAATGACAGAGAATAAATTTCTTGAATTAAAGTCAGCATAATTTCTTGGCTGAAAATTTACAAAGTGAAATTTTGTGATCATTCCCAGTCTTACCCATATACTGTCACCAATATTTTGTCACGTTGAAAATCAGTACCCATAGGTTAAGAAGCTGATATTTTTCTCATATATTTCACATGCATGTGTAACTAGTATTGGCTAGAAAATGATTTGTTGTTCAAGTGAAAAATAATTACATAAGTATCAGAAAAGGCCTCCAATTCAGCTTGATACACAACATTTACTCATTCTGTACTATGTTTTTTGTATAATTATTATTAGTTCATCATTACAGGAATACTCCTGGAAATAACTCCCTTATAATGCTTATTGGGGCAATTATTTCAGGGGGGAATTAGTCAGCAATGTATCACTAAATTTTAGCATGACGAAGCCAATAAGATACCACCTACCCTGTTGTCTGTACTGTTAAGCAGACAATCCAACCAGTTATATAAATAACCTTCTTGTGATAGCGCATTATTATCAAATACTGGTCCACACACTACTAGTGCAGCCATTGCCTGTAGAGAAATAAACAAAATAAGTTCATTACATGAGGATGACAAAAGTATGGTTATTATACCTATTTTACACAAAACAAATTAAAGTTAAAAAGTCAAATATAGAACTAGAAGCACATCTCCTTGTATTTTTTGGTTTTCTTCTCATTGTGCATATATCCAACTCCAAGTATTCCGGTTATGACTTTTTTAGCAGATCGTTCATGCAAGCTATGCACTTCAAACAAAGTACATGAAATATGTTTATAAAATACTTTTATAAGAAACAAAAATGAAGAAATCAGAATAATACATGTATGAGCATCTCTTTCATTTTGTTCTCCAAACATTTCAGTATCTCAGTGACATGTGACCATATCATCTACAGGTAATATATGAAAAAAAAAATGACATTCAATTTTCCATTTTTTACCTGCAATGCTGACATTTCCAATTCTTTGTTCTGTTCCCGATATCCAACACTCTTATCAAATGTAATACACAAGACACCGAATCGTCTGCACCAGTTTGCACACAGGAAAAATAAACTATATCTGATATCTTGTTTCAGTAAAGTATTGCGTTGCCCAACTATAGAAGAAAAAAAAAAGCAAATCTTTAAACATCTATAGAAGTTTAATAAAACAATATACGAGACAAATCTTATAATTCTACTGTCTTTAGATCATTCCAATACATTACCCAATTTGTTAATGTATCACTTGCGCAATTCAAAAATTTACATACTACTGCTAATCACTTGTCTTTATATATATAATAATGTGTAACAGCGATCAAAAGGCAATCCATGTCAAAAATGGTGCTCGTGCCATCACTGATATAC